CCCTTTTGTTTGTACCTCAAACCCCAAACTCCCAACAGCCTTTCTGTTTCTGGACTTCTGCTGCTAAATACGTTCACCCTTTACTAATGCACTTTTACCCAAGAAAATACAATGTTAAGAAATGCCCCAGAGCTACCCTATGATATCAAAGCGCATACTCAGTTTAACCAACTGATACTATGATCCATTTAAGAAAATAAAAAAAAAAGCTTTCGTATCTTTGCAGATATCAAAATCTGGAATAAATGCTGTTGTAATTTTAGGGTTCTATTTTAACAGTTAAGGGAGAGACATCTGGCAATCATCTGCAAATAAATACAGTGTCTCCATTCTCAGTTTCTCCTCCAAAACACTACCTAGGACATTTTTCCAGCATGATTCATATAATCAACATAATACATTACAATGACTTTCAAATAATTCTGAATTCTCAGCTCATTCAATAAAGAAATCATTTCTAAAAGAGAAAAGGGAATATGCCATGCCAGAAAACTAGCTTTATTGCCTCAGTCCTGCTGCCAGGAGTAACAATGTGGTGAAGTAAACTCCAAGATTTTAAAAGCATTTTTTTACAGAGAGGGCAGAGAGAGAAAAAGGCTTATTTACCAAAATGTGAGATTCCACAGGTGAGGCGAAAGAAGGTCTGAAATCCTCTTCCTTTAGTTCCAAAAGTTTTAATTTATGACGAAGCCTGTAATAATCCTTTCAAGCTGCCAGGTAAAACGCACGCCATATCTCAGCCGTATTTTCTTTCACTCTTTTGCAGCGTAACTTTTCTATTTGCATAAAGCTTAGTTCTGGCCTATGGGACTTTTTGAACAACTACATGTTAGATTAGCTGTCTTGACATGCTCTATCAAGCATGACATCATGGATCTCCACGGTAACCTTAGCCACACCTGCTCGGATGCCAGAGTTACCTGTCATGTTCAGACCTAACCAAACACAAAAAAAAAAAACCCTCAACCACCGTTTTCTAAGCACTCAGCCTTGCACAGACACCAGAAAGGTGGTTTTTTTTCAATTGCTGGAAATCTAATTTTGTTTGCCAATATCTTTGTTCTTCACGGAGCACTGGCCGAAATTCTAGAGCTGTTTCCAACCCTTCCACACCTCCCAGTGTACTTCCTAGTCAAACAACAACAAAAGAAAGCTGTGGCAAACATCTTCCAGCTCTTTTTCTTAAGGCACTCTCATAAGCTCTGGCTCTGCAAAACTTCTACATGCTCATTTTTGCTCGCTGCCCCTCAGAAAGGCTTTTTTATCGAGGTGACTTGTAAAACAGGTTCACGGCAGGGATTAGCCCCCTCCCATGGCCAGGTTAGCATTTTAACCTCTTAATTGCTAACTCTTTTTCATCCTTGCAGCTGCTAGCTCAGTTTTTACTCTTGTTCTGCTCCTTCCTTCTCTGCTGACTGGAGTCAACTCCACCTAAACGAGTTACCATGTCCTGCCATGAGCTCAGCAGCAGACGATTCACACCATCTCAGACTTCAGAAGACCAAGACTGTTTTCCTCCTTCCTTCCTCTTTTTCCTTTCTAGCTTTCCAGGGGATTACGTTAGCGCCTTGCTTTCATTAACCCAGACGAGACAGCCTTGGCAGAGGCAAGGTATCCAAAGCTCCTGCAGAAACTTGCACTACCTAAAAAAAAAAAAAAAATTTTGTTCCAGGTGAAAGGAGCTCTGGTGCCTGGCTGCCAGGCTGTCCTGCAAGGGGGAAAACCTGCAGCATGAGAGTGAGCTGCTGAGTTGTGGGTGGCAGAGCTGCGGCCATGGGGTGCCACATTCCCCTGAGGGCATTTTGGGGTGCACAAGGCATGCCTGCACCTGCTGGCTACTGCAGACTCACGCTCCAGTTTACGGAACAGACCAGCTTATTTGCCTTGCAGCAGTATCCCAAGGCTCTTGTGCAAATAAAGATGGCTCCTGTCTCTGTGAGCTTTCCTTTCCAGAATAAGGTATCACAAACAGGGCAAGCAAACCTTCTGTGTGGAGGAGGGACGATCTGTGTGCAGAGCTGGGAGGTTTCAGGTCACCACGTTAGTTAACCATCAGTAATCCCCACTGGCATTTTACCCGGCCACAATTGTACTTCTGATTTGTGGCAGGTTATCAAGAGCAGAAACGGGTTCCCTGGAGGTACATCTAGGAAAGGATTTATATGAATAAACAAGGCTTTGGAAGAAACCATTAATACACAGTGGAAAATACGGACAACATTCAGAGCTGACGTTGTTGGTGGAGGTAATACAATATGACCTGACAACATCAAGTATTTTTTACTGGTGTTCATTTTCTGCAAACCAGGGGTCAGTTTGCCGTACTCAGAGATTGATGGTTAAAACTGACACGTCAACAAAAAAAGAGAGACAATTATCAATCGTGTTTTTCTGGCCCATTTTTGTTGGTTACGGACCTGAGCAACCTAGAAGACAAATTATACGATATCCAAGGGACTATCTCCTGACTGTTAATACCAAGTTGGTTTATGTTCCAACTGCACCATTTGACACAGAAATGAGAAAATAGTGTCTCATTAGCTACTATCCTTGATAGATCTCCCACACAGGGGAAATGCCCACCCTGGATAATGTTGCCACTTTAGAGATATTGGAGCAGCTAGAGAAGTAAGAAGGGAGGAAAAGAACCTGGAAAATAAATCATGACATTTTAATTCATACATCTTACAGATTTTGTGTGTGATATATGTGTTACACACACATACCTACTACATGCATACGTTGTTTGTCTTCTATATCATGATACATATACAGGGGGGGTGAAGGAAATAAGTAAACTAGACACACATATATATTCTCCAAAGCAAAACTATATTATGGTCTTATTCATGGAGCAGCTAAGTAAGAGTGCATTATATATACACATACATATACATGCACACACATAGAGCTATGTGTATATATATACATAGCTATGTGTAGCTGTACACAGAGATACATATATACACACACATACAAACACATACACACACATGTGTTTGCATGCATAGACACTATTGGTAAGAAAAAAAACCCCTGAACTGTAATGCCAGGACCATAATAACCTTACTGCATCTGATGAACCAGACTCTTGATACACAATATTTCAACTAAGTAAATTTCTTATAATCACCTGGCATAACTTATTTCTGCACCTTTTCAATGCGACTCCTGTTCACTTTATTACTTTTTTATAAGTTATGCAGACTAGATGGAGTCTTCATTCCTTCCCATTCCCAGGAAAGACAGTTTGGTGCTCTAACAGTAATTCTAAAGTTATTTTGTTTTAAAATTACTAAAAAAAATCATTATGCACAATACATATGTCTAATCATCAAAAATAAAGAAGCAAAAGGCATTCACATGAATTTTACCCTCAATAAATTAACAAGGATGACATATTTTAAACAAATAGCAAGAACAGTTACTGCATTCCTTCTGTAATTTATTGCCTTCAGAAAAGGCTCAAATTACAAAATGTGTAGGGTGTAATGCTGTAGGCTTTTCAAACTGGGTTTGCAGTGTCTGCAACACTGGAACTAAATATTTACATGACTCCAAAAGATCTAATCTTTGGATTTCACCCCCCTCCTACCCCCTTTATTTAATTTGTATGCTATCTTTATCCACCACCCAGCACATTCCACACAGTCACTAAAGTTCATGGAAGAGATAAGTGGGGAGGAAAAAAAAAAATTCAAGACTTTCAAATGAAAGGAAGGAAGCTGTTTAAAACTAAAGAACAGATCATCCTCATTAGAGCTGAAGTCTTCCAGCAATTTTAGCTGGATACATATGGATTCTAACAGTTACGTTCTGAGGCAGTGAGATAGCACCTGGGTTCTCCAGAAACCCTGTCAAAGACCAGTTGTGGAGGGGAGTTACCAAGTTACAATCTTTCCAAAGCTGTAACAACAGTCTGATCTCCAAAGGTTTGGAAGGCTTCAAAAGAGGCTGGGAATCCAGTCAGAACTCTCATAACAGAGTGTAATATTTTTCCAACTTTTTTCTTAATTCCTTACTTACAATTAATTTGCTGATAGTACTGAAATACCCATAAAACACTAAGAAACAAACCCCAACTTTTATAAAAAGGTTTGCTGTCAAACATTTGTTAAACTGAGAACAATGGGCACAAGATTTTTGAGTCAGAACTCTAAATTCTGATGGCTGATTGAAAAAAATGAATCATGGATAAGAAGGCAGATTGACCAGAAAGCTGAACTTAATAATCTCTATCGTTGCACACAAAACCGGAGGCCAGAGATAAACTGTGAAAAGATCCTTTCACAGCATTCTCTGAATTCAGAAGGTTGGTGTCACAGCAGCCTCCACCTGCTCTGAGAAATACATCAGCATGTCACATCTCCTCTGACCCTACACCCACTTTTTGCTGCTGAAAAGCAACTGCAGGCAGGCAAGAAGCAAACCACCTTAAGGTCTGCTGCTGACAGACCAAAGTGGATGTCAAAACAGCTTGGAGAAGGCAGATACCTGTGGATAAGTCCGTTCTGTTTGTATTAAAAGACTCAAAAATAGAAAAGAAAGCAAATGAAAGGGTAACAGAGCGAGCTAAAGCATACAGTCACACTCTACAGATATTTTCTTTTCTCCCAGGCAGCAGTGTCAATACTGAAAGAGTAACAGAAGTTAACAGCTGTTCCATATTTTCCCTTCAGCTGTGAAAAGTAGATAGAGACCCATATACTAAGATCAAGAGCCTCACCTTCATCCCTTTCTCCACGTATACTCTAATAGAAATCAAGAGCTCTTTAAAAATGTCAATTTCAACAAACAATTCCAAACTGATACTGAATGGTTTCATTTTTATTATTGTTTCTTTAAATTCCAAGAGAGCAACTGGATCTTAGGCTACAACAAAAAAAAAATCTGTTTAATGCTTTCTTACATTCTGACCTTTTGTAATGAAGTAACACTCCATGTGTAGGACCTACAAGGACTCTTAAACAAAAAGCAAGATACAAATTTGACCTTCATACCTGATCTCTCAGTCTCTCCTGATGTCCCATTATTGCTGTAGCATGGTGGGGATACTTCTGTTTCAGATGCTCAAGAAAAGCCTCTCTCTTCCTGTCCATTTCCGAGGTTTGCATTCCTAGTATTTCTTTGGAACTGCGAGGGCCACCTACTGTATGTCTTCGGGGGATGTTGCGAGTGGACTTTGAATTAGAAGAAGTGTGACTGTTCGGGGTCGAAAGGCGCTCTTTAGTTTGGAGACATTCTGCATCGTCTAGTGATGTTACGTGCAAAGTGGGCTTTGTCTGGTCTGAAAAAATAAAACAAAAACAAAATCCCAAACAGTATGAGAATTTAATTCCAACATTCATGTTAGTAAGAAAAATAAATAATCAATAGAAAAGCAAGGTTTTTTTAAAAGTGTAGTAATGTTCAACAGCATGTTCTGCATCATTAGGCATTAAAATGTTGTAAGAAGTGGCCCGGAAATAATCACTTATATAAGCTATGCACAGTACTTGTATACTTTTAACATACAACTGCAGTATTGCCTCCCAGAAAAGTGAGTATCATTAAAGTAGATGTTCCCTTTATATCATCTTTACCACTATGTGACTTGAAAAGAAGATCTGACAGGGCCCTTATTCCCTGACCTTTAAAATCTACAGGATGTTTTCCATGAGAAGAAACAGGCTTCTTCAATAGGCTCCAGCACACTTAATGGCCCCGTAACTAGCATCCTTAAGGATAGAAACTGATAAAACTCCTTTTGAAATCCTTAATCTTTTTTTCAGTGTGTTTCAACGTGCTCGGAAACATCTATGAAAAAGGAGAGGGGTTCTGGAAGCTTTTTTTCCTGATTTCTGACTGGTCTGGTTTTAAATTTCACAGATCTCCCTTGGATTTTATATGTTACAGGACAGTGGACTGGAAAATACTACATCACTTTTTCAATAAACCATTTCTTAAGATTCAGAATAAAAGCAAGTTTTCTGTGTTATAAAAAGAAAAGAAGAATCAGATAAATTTTACAATTTTAAAATCTACTTTAAGACCAAAGACCATGACTATGTTTGTAAAGAGACAGGCAGACACTGAGGGTATGTAAATCCTGGCTTATCTTCAGGTAACTGTGTAACATGAGCCCTCTGGTACATGAAAAATTGTAGTCTGGAGCCTTGTTACCCAATACCTTTGAAAAAATCCCTCACTCCTTTGTCAGCAAAGAAAAAAACAAACACAAAAAACCCAGAAGCACTGAAACCGCCCCTCCAAGTCTGATGTGGCTTTCCCCACCTTTTACTGGGCAGCCTCAGACACCCCTGTGAGTGTTAACCCTTTACAGCACCTCCTCAGAAGCAGGAAGCTCCCTCCTCAGCATGTTTTTAATACATCTCTATTTCTCCCCATCTGACACTTCTTGCCTTGAGGCCCTTTATCCTCCCAGTGACTGACTGCCCCATGTGCTGCCATTTATATGGCACTGCTGTTTGGAAATAGGCACCTATTTGCTGCTTTTTATGGTTCAGCCAGTCAGTTTGACACCCGGCCTACCACATCTCAGGATTTTATGCTGAGGATTTTTCAGCTTTCTGGGGTGCATTGTCAATTGCCTGCCAAGTCCCACATAACATCCAACTCCGGTAAAAAAGTAAACCTTTTACTGGTGGAGCTGCTGCTGGTCTGATGTCCCACCAATTCCCTTGGGTTTCACAAACTGGGCCCTGCAAGGTCCTCAAAGGCTGCATATTTCTTTAAGCTCCCTATGATGCTCAAGGACTTAAAAATACCAACAACAGCCTCTCATTTGTATTCACGGAAACCTATCCCGAAAGCAGAACTGGACACAGAAGCCCAGACTGCAGGTGGCACCATGCTTTGACGAGCACAGCCTAGGCACAACTTCAGAAACACGTTTGGCTCACAGGGAAGCATTTAAAATGCCATCTCCATCTCCGCCACACTTTGTAAGACCTTCTCAGAAGCACAATCCTGGTTAAACCTTCAGAGCAGCAGCCTCGTGTTTATGTGCACACATTGAACTTTTCAAAGCACAATTCAACTGAAAAACATCCAGCCTCACCAGTTACTGACTGGGTACACGTTTGAAAAAAAGTAGCAAAAAGGAGAGTTCTGCTTGCAAGAAGTAAGTTCATTCACCTAAACGGTTTCCGAAAGATGCACAGTCATTTCAATGGATTTTACGTGGGAGGAAGAAGAGGTGGGATGAAGCTGGCAGTACTTTATCATCTTGAATTTGTTGCATGGAGAGCCCTAAGGTTCTACACCCCAGGCTGTTGGAACAAAGGCCTCAAACATAAATAAGGGATTTCCTTGGAGCTCAAGGGAGTCAAGTGTGAGCCTGGGTGACTGAGTGCAGCAATTTGGTGTAAACCTTTAAAGTATGGTCGTACCAGCAGTTTCAATCACTGAATTGGTGCCAGGCAGTTCCTCAAGCAGGCAGGTAAACCTACACTGCCAAATACAACTGAGAGCTCATGAATGTGTATTTTGGGTCCTCAGTCTCCCTCACACAAAGCCCTTGCCTACTTTGCACTTCAGTAATTTCAATAGCTTAAGAAAAGGCTAATTATTTGGAATGTAAAGAGCCCTATAAAGTAATGTGTTTTACCACTATTTGTAATTGGGTGAAACCTTGAGAAGGAATCAAAAATAACATATTTTTCTTATACTCTATGAGAAAGATCAACAAATTATCTTATTTTTCTTTCATATATTTGGAAAATACTGTACAAAGACCAGTGAAAAGAAAGGAATGTAAACTATGCAAACTAATTGCTAGTCCTGCCAGCAAGCCGACCGAGCGACCTGGCCATTCAGCAGGTCCCACAGCATTACAGCACACAGCAGCACGTGACTCTCTTCGCAAACCAAGCTCTCTGTTTGAATATGAGTCTTTCCACCAGTAATTGCTGGGAAAAAATCTTCCTTGGCCACTTCCTAGATAGGGACAAATGACTTTGATGGTGAGGTTGAAAGCTGAGATGATGAAATCCCTCCTGTGTAGCTCGGGGCACGTAAGCTCCACGGCTGCTGTGTGGGCCCCAGCGCTAGAGGGAGGAGAAACTGATGGAGGTTTTCTGGATCGTGGAGTTGCTCAACAACAGCGTGGGCAAACTCCCCCTATCTTCCAAGTGAAGATAATAGACCCAGAAAATCAACCCTCCCAGATAACTTTGAAATGTGTGAAGGATCATGTGATGGTTCTCGGAAGACAGCTACAAGTAGCGCAAGGATAACTTATGCAAGTACCCTCCTTGGAACAGGAGTAAAGGGAAGCCAATGGAAAACACAGAGGTGTAAGATAAGCTTGTCTCCCTCTCTCCCTCCCTCATATTCAGAAGCTAAAAGCTGAAGGTCTTTCTGTTCAATAAAGTAGCAAGTCTAAAGGGCAACAAAAAGCACCACGTGCTGATTGACAGGGGCGGGCTTTGGTTATCCAAAGGCTTGAGTTGCTTCTCTGATCTGAAAACAAATTTCAGGACTTCTTAACATCACTCATTACTCCAGTGGATATAACTACTGGAAAGCTCCAGGTGTGCAGCACAGAAGCAGTATGCCTAGAACTATCAGGAAGATTATAAAGAAGGACTAATTTCTGTGAGCTAGAAATTAAAAAGAAGCAATTCAAAAAAGTCCTTCAACATGTCCTGGTATGCAATTCTTTTAAGTCACACCCTCCCTGAAGTCCACAGAGGTCAGGAAAGCTGTTTTGCTTCATTACTTTAAACGTTGTGAGGATTTTAATAGTTCTGTTTTGCAACCCAGATGACATGAGAGAAGAACGTTTTCAGAATAATTTTAGAAAGGAACTAACATGGACCTGACCCATACTGATACTATGAAACAGAGCCTTGAAGCAAACCACCTTCAACACTTAAGTTTAAGAAAGAATACAATTTTAACAGCATGAGTCAAAGCCACCTCCATTATATTTATGCCAGTAGTAAATTTGAGAGTATTCGGAATAACTCTAAGTTACTCCACTGTCTTTATAACTCTCTCTCTTTAAAATGTAAATTTTGGATATGGGCCAAAACTACTACATTTGGTTAAAAGCTTAAAGCATTCAAAATTTTGGGGAATCATAGCATCGGTCTGGTCAGAGCTCTGTGTTTCTAGGTTCGGTTGTATCTCGAGCAGCTTTATACAAACGACACAGAAGAAACTAAGTTACTGAAGGCTTTTTTTTTTTTTCCTGTTCAGACACATCCCTTAAGTGAAGATTTCCGTCCCACTAAACATCAACATATACAGAGACAGATGCACGTGACTCGCACTGCTCAGTATTTTAACTTTAAAAAACTCTGAAAGAGTATCAAACAATTAAAGAACCCTCCAAGAAAAAGTGTTTTTTCCAAACTCTTTATGCACTATTTTCTCACATTACATACTTGTAAACTCCTGTGATTTTTTTTTTTAAAAACTATATGTACCCAACCATGCACTATTTGTTTCACAGAAGCACAGTAACACAACTTTTTCTGAAATGCCCATGAGGAATACAAAACACACGAAGTGGGAACGTTCACAGGTGCTCCACAAACACTACAATAGCTATAGATTAGATTAGCTATTTGTCATGCTACCTGAATGTTATGCTCCACGTGGAGCAGCCCACGTACAGTTCACCAGGAAATAGTTTTCATTCGCGTTTAGACAAAATATATAGTGCAACACGAGTCGTACAAACGCACCACAGCTGACCCACCGTGAAAATCACTGATTCTGATTTCTTGGCCTCGCTCCAAAACAAACCCAACTGGTTTCGCACAAAGTAAACTAACCCCGTGACAATCTGCCGTGAATCTCCCTCTTTTAAAAGACACCCCGAGGAAGAGAAGAGCTCAAGCCTGCTTTTATGAAAGAAAAGCTATTTCTCGGCCATAGGTGAAGCATGCAGAGCATTTAAAGGGAATGGGACGTGATTCCTGCCCCCACGCACGAGGCAGCGTCCCGCAAGCGGTGACAGCGACCCAGCACGCTCCCGGCCTTAGAGGTTAGACAGAAATCGCTCTAAAGAGAAAGTTAAACTCACAAAGTTGGAGTGTCAGGGAAATCGCTGAGCCATTAGCACAAGAAAGACAAGGGTTTGGTGTTTCGTGGGGTTTTTTGCTTCCATGCATTCTGCCTCCAGTCATAAAAAGCAGCTGCGAGGGGCACGTTAAACGCAACTCCGTCTTTGCCTTGATTCTCTTACTTACCCTTCATCTGCCTGCTGTCTGTTGAGAAAGCCAGGCACAGCTCAAGTTTCTGGCATTCCTTCTCCTCCATTGTCCCTGCCCACCG